AGGGCGTTCACTTGACAACGCCAGCCGCGGCTTTCAGAGCGTAGCGTGCGCCACATAGCTTGCGCAACAAAACTCGCACCACATAGATTGCACCACATAGGTTACGCCGCACAGTTTGCATCCACATGGTTTGCGCCACATCGCGTGCAACCCATAGCTTGCACCACATAACTTGCGCCACAGAACTCACGCCATGTAGCCTGCACCACATCGTTTCGGACGCACAGTTTGCACCGCACCACATAGTTTGCACCACGTGGTTTCCCTTGCATAGCTTACACCACATAGCTAGCAACATGTAGTTTGCACCGCATAGCTTGCGCCATGCGAGGACAGCAGCCTGGAATCTGGAGCACCGTCGGGACCCCCCGGGGCCATCCAGAAACCACCCGTCGGGCCTCCCCCGGGGCCATCCAAAAACGCCGGAGGGCCCCCCCCCCTCCCGCGGCCATCCAAAAACTGCGCCTGGGACACTTGAAACAACCCTCCCGCCAAAAATTCCACCTAAAATCCTGCCAAAAACCATTTCGGATTCCATCGTCAATTTCTCCTCCAATCTTTTTTTAGCAAGAATCCCGTCATAAGAAAATTGGCGGAGAAATTGGCGGCCGTCCCCCAGGGCGCTTGCGGGGTCCCCCGCGGGGGAGGGGCGGGAGGGTGGAGGGGGAAGGCTGGTGGAAACCGAAGGAGCAGGTGGAGGGCGAGGGAGCGCGACGGGGGGGTCGAGGGTGAGGGTAGAAGGCGAGGGAGGGGGAATGAGTGAATATGAACGAGGGTGGAAGCGCGGACGCAAGGTGAGGAAGGGCGGGGGGCGGGGTGGACGGATGGTGAGGACGGGTGGCAGGGCAAGTGAGATGAGGGAGGGCTGGGCGAAGGAGAATGGGCGAGGGCGGAGGGTGAGGGAGGGCGGAGGGCGGGGAGCGGATGCGGGGTGGCGAAGGAAGGCGAACGCATGGCGCGGAAGAGGACGGGGGAGGGCGGGGGGGGGGTAGGGCGGGGGAAGAGGGAGAAGGGGGAGCGAGGGAGCGCGGGGGAGCGAAGAGAGGGAAAGGAGGAGGAACAAGGGAAGTGAAAGATAAGAGGAAGAAGGAGGGGGGCAGGAAGACGGGAGCAGGGAGAACGAGAGTGAAGGAAAGAGAGACGAGGGACCGCGGAGGAGGGAAAGTGGTTGATGGGGGGGCGGGGCAGGGCAGGAGCAGGCGGAAGGGCGCAGGAGGGGCAGGGGGGGGGGGGGGGGCGGAAGGAGGCAGGCACCAGGAGAAAAGGCGCAAGAGAAGGGAAGAGGCAGGACAGGGGACCACGTCGTAGAGACACCTGGGCTCTTGGGTTTCCTTAGGGTTCCTTGACACTGTCCTTCGGGGGCCCTGGGTTTCCCAAAGGCTCCCTCGGGGAATTCTAGAAGATTTCCGTAAATGCCCACGCCTCCCCGCGCAGACGTTGGGGAAGCGAGGGGCGATGTTCCAGAGAAGACAACCCCGCCGACTGGTGAGGGAGGCCCCTGGGGGCCCCCCCGCTTGACTCTGGACGCCGGCGGTCGCGCCGAAAGGGCGGGGGCGCGTTGAAACGAGCGTCCGGCGATGAGTCGGGGGGCAGGATCGTCATGGTTTGGGGCACCCGTGCAACGGACCGACGGTTCCCCCTGGGCGACGCTGACAGGGAGACAAACAAGTTCGCCACCCACGCGATTCGGCCTCCCAGCGATTGAACGGAAGGCCAAAAGAGCCCGAAAAACAGGATGAGAAGAAGGACGACGGAAGGAGGACCGACGCGAGGCGTCACGGCCGCCACCCAACGATCAAACGAACGAGGACGGCCAAGGATCAGTCCGTCGGAACCTCCGAGCACGCTCGCGCAAAATCAAGGCAGCCATACTGTTACTTTGTATCGTGGGTTCTGGGAGGTACTACGGAACTGGGCACCCCAATATTGGAAACGGGCTGCCACGCCCGTCGGTCGCCGCGTCTCCCAAGGAGCGGGGCGTCGGGGGTGCTACGAAGGGAAGATGCCCGGCAACAATATATGTAGCCGCGGACTGGGCCCGCGCGAGGGCCCCTTCCAGGCGGGCGGCTCGCGGCCTCGCGGGCAAGATGGGGCGGCGCCCCCCGCGCGCGCAGCAACAAGGACAGGGGGGAATCGAGCGTAGGAACGGCGGGATGCCCCGGGAGGGGAGGGAGGGGACAAACAGCTCCCCACCTCCCGCCCGCCATCGCCCTTGGCCCGCCCTACGCCCCTCTTGGGGAGGACAGAACTCTCCAGCTGTGGCGATGGAGCAACACATGTGAACATCGCGCAAATCCATGGGCTGGGCGACGCAACGCGGCGGTGGCCCGATTTCAGCCCGATGGCTTTGGATCAACAAGCGCGCTACAAATTGAACGCAACGTGGAGATCGCGCCGAATCTGGGGGCGGCAAAGCGGGCCCTCTCCAACCGCCGATCTACGAATATCAAAAATCAAAGCATAAAAATCAGCCTCCAAACTTTCTGTCATTGGTCAGAGC